TTGGTGTTTAGGTAGCCATAACAAGAAAACTTGTAATGTGTCATTGTAAATTTTTATGCTTCTAATTAAGGGATTTATGATGGTTGTTTAATTTAATTTAATTTAATTTAATTTTTTTGGTTAACATTGCCATTGTTCTTAAAGGCGTCAATAAATGGATATCAGACTTGATTTGTGGTTGTCACACTGTTTTTGTCACAATACGTGCCAAAGTTTTGATTCTGTATGCTTTATAAATGATCACACATTTTTTTTTCATTTTTTTACATTCATAATATGGATGCCACATTGTTACAAGCACAATATTTGACCAACAATAGTGTCACTTTGCAATGTTACATTGTCATTCATTAAAAGCAATATATATGGATGTCACACTAAGTCATGCATACTATTTAGATTGTGTATGAATCAGTGAATGTAATTGCATATCTTTTGTAAGTGATTAAAGTGTTAATTAAGGTATTACACTATCATGTCACACTGTTTCATATGAATCAAAGTGTGTCTAATACACAATCATTTTTATTTACACACCGATAGTGACATGATTTTATCAATACAATATCAACGTTGAAAATAATTACTTGATGAAACTAAATTAAAATTAGACAACAATCACAGGTAACAGTCGTGACTTGTAATTTCAAGATTCCTAGTTACAATTTGAAATAATCAATCATTTGTGTGCAATTTGTTTTTTACTTTATGTCGTTCTTTGAAATCTTCTTCAGTCCAGCTCTTTTGATCGTTCAGGAACATTGACCACATTTCACTTTGGAAGTCTCTTATATGTGCTTGTATCAATTTCTTTTATACTTCTTCCCCTTTTGCAAATTGTTTCATCGGGTAGAAAACATGAACACCGCAGTCAACCCTACAATACGTTTCAAGTTAATGACATTGAATGTGTTGGTTGAAAGCAGTAGTGAATTAATCATAAACTTACAAGTTTGATCAATTAGAATGTAGTTTTTCAATTAGAACTATGACACCATAATGTGACTTAATGATTAACATGCATTACAAAAACACAAGGAAATAAATAACATGCATTATCGATTAATGAATCCAACGGTAGCAAGTTTAAAATCATACAAAAATAATGATGAAAACCCTAGTCTCCAAAATTTCATATGTGTTGTTTCAAGTTGTCAATTGATTTACTTAAAAAAATAAAATATAATTACAAATCAATCCATCCATACTTACTTATTTGGAAATTATGGCAAATTTGAAGTGGAATAGAAAGAAGATCGATCTTTAATGGTGTTTCAATGTCTGTACTATCATTTCATAGGCGAACGATTGAACTTCCTCAAAATTTTTCAAATGCTTGTGTTTTGTATTTACTTGAAAGCTGAAGGATTTTGTGGCAGATTTTGTTTAAATTTGAAAACCAGTGCTTTGAGCGATATAGAAGTTAGCGGATTTAATGGGATTGTTGCAGGACTAACGACGGTTTCCAAGCCCACTCATTGTGCTTGTTAGTGTTACCTTGTGGTGGGTATTTTTGTCAATAAAAAAAAGGACTTTTGTACAAAAGGTTTTTAATGAAGGACTTTTAAACAATTAAGTGTTATAATGTGCACTGGCCTAAAAAAATCACTTCATATTATAATGAGTTTGGGCCATATTTAACCAATAGCATAAAGACAATTAATATAATTGAGAGCTCCATTTTTGGGGGCTTAAGCAGACATTTAAGTTGCTTACTACATGGGCCGACCCTAGTTAGCATCATTAGAGACCTTTGACGATGATGATGGCATTGAAGCAAACTTCAAATGGCTAAGAAGGTGGGTTATTACTCGTTAGAAGATAAAAATGCATAGCCAACTGATTGAGTAATATGAGAGTTAAACTTGAATGGTGGTTTATTTATAGTGAGAGATGTTTAAGTCCCTCAAATCCACACATATCCTAATGGCCCCATTATTTTTCTTGATGGGGACTATGTTTGACAACTATACAGGGTGCTGGATAGGTTTGATGAAGGTAATCCGCAATAGTTTTTTCAGATCTTCCTTAATTTTTATCATCATCTCGGGGGTGTACTTTCGTGAATGTTGTTTGACAAGCTTGTCTAAGGGGTGGACATTCAGCTTCTGATAGAATAATTTTGGGTCTAATCCGGGCATCTCCTCATATTTTCATGCAAAAAAATTGGCATATTCTATCAACAATGCCAAGAAAGCTTGCCTATATTCTGGGGGTAGCCTCTTGCATATGAAGACTGATCACAGTGACTCCCCAGGTGGGGTGAGTTTTACTTCCTCTAGCTTCTGCTCATGTGACTTAGGGCGATCCTCCATACAATTTGGCTTAAGGACCACGTTAGTGGGTGTCACAATGGTTTTAGCCTCTGCTTTATGCACCTCGTCTCGAGGACTCACTCTCCCGCCCTCGTAGGTGCTCCCCCCACACTATCATAACTGGTAAGTGACTCACGCTATCAGGTAGGACGTGATGAATACATCTCTTTGGAGCCTCTTCTCGCAAGGACGCTTCAACTTGCCTTTTTCCTCGGGCACGCTCTTTACGCCTTTCTTTCACACTTATCCTTTGAGATGCCACATAGATTTTCCACTGGACCTCCTCCCATTAAGGAATAGGGAACGACAAGGGCCGCTATAGCAAATATGTGGCCTCATCGTCTTTAGCCACTTCATCGTATAGTGCTTCCTCTTCCAAGTGTGCCTCATTGCTGCTAAAGGGGTCCTCAGTCGCTGGTATCGTTGCATCCTTTCCATTCCAAATCATCTTCATGCACTAGTGGTATGTAGAAGGGATTGCCCCTAAATCATTCATCCAAGTGCACCCAATCACATGGAAGGTTGTGGATACCCTTACATTCCCTATGACTAAGGAGACGGTGACATACGGAGATGATAGCCATTTTTTTGAAAAAACTTGACTTGCAAAACCCAAGATGCTCGTTTATGGACAGAGGCATGACATTCACTGAGGCCCTATTGTCCAAAAAAATCCATTTCAACTGTACCCCATTGATCCTAGCAATGGCGTAGAGGGGCTAATTATGCTTCATGGGTACTTGGCAATCCCCCCTCCATGAAGGTGATGACATTAGACCTTTCCTTGATACTACAGAACACCGAGCCTTCAGCAGCCATGCACTTCTCGAGGCCTAAATAAGTCCATGATGGCTTGGTAGCTAGCAATCTAGTACCATCAGTAAGTCCCAGTTGATTAAAGAATTCTTCAATTTAATTGTTTCCTTTAATATGCACGCACACGTGTAAGGGTCAATCTCTAGCACGTCATGGAAAACTTCTAGGATCTCTCGACTTAACTAAATTTTGGGCTAGTCTTCAAAGTTTCCTTTCGTTGTATCCTCGATTTTGTCATAGAATGACACCATGTGCACCTCATTTCCTTCTTCGTGGTCTATGAGGGGCCGGTCATGTATGTTGCCCCTGGTGTTTGATAGTACCAACTCTCCATTCTTTAAGCGCTTCTAAAATATTTGGTGCACGGTCCAACAGTCATTGAGGTTGTGTTTGGTGTGGCGATGAAACTTACATAAGGTCGGGTTGTTTTTCTCTTATCCACTGGTGGGAGCTCGACATCATCATTCTTGATCCATTATGTGAGAATCCAACCAACTGGCCATCTTAAAGGAGGCCTAGACCGTCTTTAAGAGCCTCTGAGAAGACTCATATAGCCTAGTAAAGGTTTTGAAGGCACTATTCACCAAGTATGCGTTGTATTTGTTATGCATTCTATCAATGAAGATTCGAACAAGGGCCTCTTGGTGAAGGCCCTGTCCTTGTGGGACTTGAAAAATTCTCTCATCCGAAGAGGCTCGTGGAGCACATAGTGTCCAAGGTTATCAAGATAACTAGTAATGTGCTTCCAAGGGTTGCCATTTTATCCATCAAACTTCGACAATGAGTACCCCACAGGATATATATCTTATTGCACAGCCGAGGTATACTTGGACCTTATGTCTATGGTTGTTGGCATGGGCTCCTTTTATCTGTCTAGTAGGGCTTGGACTTGGGCCAGCGTGACAAACCCAACACTGGGCACTAGTTATTCTGTGCTAGCCAAGTATAATGCTCAAGCAGTTGTAGATGGAAATGAGGTAGTGGCAGCAGGGGCTGAAAATGTCAAAGGCATGGTTGTGGGAATAGTGAAAAAAGCAATTAACCCCACACATGGGTAGTCACCGGTGCCATTGTAGAAATGGTGAAAGGGGCCATTTGGGAAGCTGCACAACCATAGTTGTAGCCAGTTGCAGCATGTTCACATCCAAGAGCCATTGGAAAGTTTAGGAGAGGTGCACCCATTATGGTTGCAAGTCTAGCTATGGTGGGTACCTTAGGGGATTCAATTCAGCAATCCTGCATGGAAGAGATAAGCCTATCTTTGAGATATTGAAAAGGTTAAGAGATTATGTGAAAAAATAATGCTCGTAAAGAGGAAATGGATCAAGAATTATACTGGTCAAATATATACAAAAATATTAAAGAAGCTAGAGATTTTGAAAGCTGAAGCAGAATGTTGCATTACTGATTGGTATAGGGAACTTAAATATCAAATGAGGTGTCTTTATGGAAATCAATACATAATGGACTTAAATACATATACAAGGTCATGCAAAAGGTGGGATTTGACAAGTATTCCTTGTCCATATGCTAAATCAGTCATGCAAGATAAATGTATTGAACCAAGAACTTATATTCATGTACTATAAGAAAGACAAATTCATAAGGGCTTATGAGCCAATGGTTGAACCAATAAATGGTTACAACATGTGGCCTAGGATTAGACTAACACTAGTACTACCACCTATGGTAGTTAAGCAACCTGGGAGGCCTAAAAAGTTGAGGAGAAGTGAACTAGATGAGCCAAAAATTAGTTCCAAAAAAATAAGGAAAGTTGGTCAGCACTCTGTAAAATGCAAGAGGTGTGGAAAGAGGGGAAACAATAAGAGGACTTGCACTATTAGGCTAACTGATACACAAAATGAAAGGATGGGGACTACTACAAGTTTTGTGTCAACTTTGGCAAGTGATGGTGGTAGAGGGATAGGGACAAGGACTATAGCAACGACAAATGTAACTTTGGGTTCGACTAGTGGAGGGTTAAGGAATCCAGCAGGTTCAAATGCAACTATTGTTTCTAGTAATGGAGTTTTAAGGAATCCAGCAGGTTTAAATGTAGTTACTATTTCTACTGGTGGAGGTTTAAGGAATCCAACAGGTTTAAATGTAGCTACTGCTTTTACTAGTGGAGAGTTAATGAATGTAGTAGACTCAAATGCAGCTACTACTTCTGACTTGATCCGATATTTGTACACCTAAGTGTAGACAGTCAAGTTGTAGTAATAATCCAGTTAAATCTGGAGTTGAATCCACAAGGAACTATTGTTGGTGTTTTGAAGTAAGCAGTGACAGAGACCATGTGATTATAACCTTTGAGATTTATAGTGATGATGTTTAGAGATTTTCCTGGGACAAATATATCATTCTTTCCAAGAAGTTTTTCTAGAAAAAATATAAGATAAATTCAAATGTAAATAGTCACCCTTTAGCTCGAGAATCTAAACATGTAGTTAATCATCCAGTTTATTATACTTGTACTTGGTAACTCAATTAACTTCCGTGTCAACAGCAAGTTAATTAGAAGATAAAGGTGAATTGTGAGAATTAAGCACATGGTTCCAATGCCTTTCTAGAAGTTTACAAGAATTATTTGTGTCGAGACTCAACCCGTCTACAAACAAGCAAGTATTTCTACAAGGCATCCAACCATGGCGTTAATATTCCATCCTTTTTGATGAAGTTCAATAATGGTAGAGATTGAAGGGTAGTCATAAAGATCTAGTCGGGGTACTTGCCTTCAACCAATGAGTCTTTCTATACAAGAGTCATCTATTTTATAGAAATTACTCCCGGTCATACAAAGTACGTTAACGTTGCTAAATACAGTCAATCATTCAATAAGCAAGTGAAATATAAAATATTTAAGCATAAATGAAATGCACAAAAATAACACCCGGATAATTTATACATGTTCATCACCTCTTACTAAAGAGTGAATGAGAAACTACTCATTTTTATGGCTTTGGTAAAACTAGAAAAGTGAGTAATGCTCATCCCTCCAAGTAGAGAAGTTATCCAGTGAATCACACAAAACAAGGAGTTGATCTTCGACGAAGAATAAGTGAATCACGTTCCACCCTTCATGACTTTGGTAAAGCTCTAAAAAAGTGAAAGAGTTTCACTCCTCTAAGGGAAGAAGTGTGACACCCCAAAATCCGGGGGTCCGTTGATTACTCATCAACCCGCGGAATGCCCGTGGATACCGAGTAACTCAATATCTCAACGTTATGCCCCATTTATCGGAGTCCATCCTTTATTAAAAATTTGGGCAGAGTCTCCTTTGTAAGGAGAACTCTACTCAAAACACAACCTGTGCATTATATAATAACAAGACCCATCCGAGGTCCTATATTCAACAATGACCACACCGGGTCCATTTATAAGTAAACATTAGCCACACCGGGTCTAATTATCCATATTCATATAAACATGCAAGATTATATTAAAACAGTCGATATAGATTCTATTACAATTCCTTTACACATTACATGCCAAAATTTAATTACAAGTCTAATTTTACAAAAGAAATGGACTGAAAGCCACAAGTCGACTTTTCTTCCTCCTTAAGTGCCCGAGTAAGTGCCGTCCCTCGGCGTATGACCCGTACCTGAAATGTTTCCCGTATAGGGTGAGCCAATACCCAGTAGAGAAAAACTCCTACTAGGGCTACTCCCCACCTTAAATGCATATGCAATGTGTAGAAGCAACATTTAACATTTAACAACCATTCATACAAGAATATGTATTCAATGTTGAAATGCAACCATGTCATGCCATGAAATAAGATGATACTCACTCATGCACTTAAACCCAAGTCCTCATTGACTTCCACAACACAATGCAATGCCAATGTGTAATGACCCGTCTTCGACAAAAATACATCCAATGATCGCTTTGAATAAAAAATCATGCGTTTTATAAATCAGATCATTATTGGATGGTATTCATTAAATGAGTATTTTCTTATAAATCAAAATCTTGTGTCTTGTTAGGCAACGGATTTTTGATTTTATACCACCGGTTCCGTATACCATACTACACTTTTCCGGAATTTCACCACAGGGGAGTGTATAACCAAGTCGCCGGGTCTTGCACCCGAGGGAGAGTCTAGCCCTACTTGCTATACCCGACACAAGTTTTCTTCCATGCAACCATGCGACTCAAAGGGGATCTTCGATCCACTTTTTCCTGAACCCACATACCAACCACCAAACAAGGTGATTGACAGGGCAACTAGGTTTCGCGATGCGAATCCAATGGTGAGGTTCATTGTCCCATCTGAGCTCTATAAAAATATGTATTTTAAATACGCATTATGATGGCAAATTACCATTTTGCCCTTTTTCAGAAAAAATTCAAATTTTTCCCGGGTTTCATAAGAAGGAAGCTCAAATAATAGAAGTGAAAGAAGCTAATCACTTTTGGAGGGTTTCCACCGCAACCAAAAGATGATCTATCTCCCTTGATACAAATAAATATAAGCCTAAGTCTAAGATACAACTACAAGTGGGAGTCCAAGCCTCCATCAAGCTCTCTACAAGTCTCAAAAAGACTCCAAAAAAAAAACTCCCCTAAAGAACTCCCACAATGGGAGTATTTATAGGCAAAGAGAAGGGGACAAGGTAGTGTGGAGGAATAGTACAAGGCCTTCAAAGTCCAAAGTCCGGAGAGAAAATCAACTACTTTGCAGCCTGTCTAAAGACAATGTTCGAATGTTGTCTGGCATTCAAATGTTGATCCTGTCTTTGTTTGATGGGCGTTCGAACGTTGTTTCTGTCTTTGCTTGATGGGCGTTTGAATACCAGATGGGGTCTGACCTTCCCACTCAAGTAGTATGTGGTCTTATGTGAAATCCATTTTCACACTCCATGCACAACCTGACGCTTTGCATTTAGCATCCTGGTCCTCCAATAATTCAAGGGGACGTTCGAACATGAATTGACGTTCAAACGTGGCACTCAAGTACCTCAATGTTTTCCTTCTTAGCTACAACATGCCATGCCTTAACATCCTCCAGTCTGATCTTCAATAATTCAAGAGAACGTTAGAACATTGATTAGTGTTTGAACACTCTTGCCTTGGTCCAAGCTTTTCTAATTTTGTTCTAGAATATGTTGGTGTTGCACAAAAGTGTGATATTCATTGTCTTTGGTCCCTTGTACAATTTATGTCTTGAAATGCCAGCATTTAAACTCCATCAAAGTATAATTAGTCCTAAAAAGGCATAGTGATATGTTGATTTTAACTACTAATCAGCTTCTATAGGTGCATCAAGCTCAAATGGAGGTTTAAGCTCTGCTAGACAATCAGGCTCAAATGGATGTTAGGGTAATGGTTTTGAGGAGAAGTAAAATGAAGTCCATTAGATAAAAGGCTAAGACCATGCAAAACAACAACAAACACTGATGAAGACAGCTTAAGATTCCTATTTTTTATGCTTTTGCCTGCTATCAGAGGCTCTCCTTTTGCTAATTTGTATCTTAGGGCTCTATTTTTTTTTCCTAAATTGTCCTTTTGTTATCTAAACACAAGATGTTGGATGTTTGTGTTGGGCATTATTAAAATAAAGTGTTGGATTATGTGCAGTGTAGTTTTTTGCTTTTATGTTTATTAATAATGTACTCAATACCTTATGAATAACATAATCGTATTGAAGAACACAAAATTTGAGATTGAATCTAACAATTGCATTGGACAAAACATTGTCTTCATACATTGCTCCGCCAACAAAAAATTAACAATAAGGCATTTCCACCAACAAAATGTGCTCAGGCCAACATACAAAGTACAAACTATGAATTTCTCCCTAAACAATGCCCACTAATCATCCTAGTAGTGCCATCAACTTCTCATCCACTTCTATGTCCAAATCCCAGCCACACAAACAATATCATCAACAAAGACATCGACAAAAAAATCCATGCACATCTCTGCCGTACTTTCACACTTCTTGCAATCTCCTCGTTCTTTCACAGTGACCTTAACAATCCAATTATCATTGTCTTAGATCTTTTGCACATAGGGGTGTCATACCATGAAAAAACCCCCCACATCCACCAATTGTCTGCAACAAGAATTTCAATTTACTAATTCAGAAATTTTGAAATTCAAGATTTAAGTTTACCGAACCACACCTCATTTTTTTTTTTTTTTTTGCAACCAAAAAATCTCCTCCCTAGGTTTGCATCATTCCATGAGGTATTCATTTGTGCAACATGCCCACAATGGTAGAAAGTGAGAGGCAGTGATGATGCACTGTTGCAACCAATCTTCACTTGGAGCAATGTTAAGCAATAGATTTAGAACATATAATCGATGATCAACAACATCGACGACGGTAAGTATCAATTTCAAGCAACCTCGTCCCATCGACTACGTCTCCAAGCACCTCTAGAAGTCCTAATTTGTTTCCTCAAATAACAATCAACGATTCTGCCCATTTCCCCCAAATAAGAAATAGCATGTTTGCTTGCCTTTCAAAGATGCTTTACTTTATCAAAATTATTTTCTCTCAGAATGATTTAATTGTTCCTCTCAAGATATGATTGCACCTCTAAAATGTATAAATGTGTTTCCCAAGTGTAAGAAGTGTGTGTAGTGTAGTAACTCAAAAAATTTGGGGTCGTCTCCTCAGGAAACAATGGCAACTCGAATGGTGCCATTTTAGAAAATAAAATGAAAAGTCTTGGTATTGGGAGAGTTGGTGAAAATACAACTTCTATAATGAAATCAAATGGAAAAAAATGACTAATGCTCGAAAATCATCTCACTGTAATCAAGCTATTCAATTCTCATTTATAACTCATCCAATCACATAATCAAAATTAATTGGACAAAAAATATACAACTAAAACCAGATTTGAACAATATGTAGCTTTGTAGAAAGAAAATACTAGCTAAAAAGTTGAGTACTTCGATGTGTATATGAACTCCAAATATTACATGTGTCGAAAGGTCCGTTGACAAAAAATTAAAGTGATCACGCAACAAGAAGTTTTTGAAAATCATTTTTCACAATTATAAAGCATTCTTTCGGTTTGAATCCATTAGAGAATCAATATGGTTTGATTACGAGTGAAATACTCCCTCAGATCGCTCCAAAACTTAGCTAGAAGTAAGACCCACCAAATCGAAAATCAATG